TTTTGACTACCACTGTGCAGACCAGAAATTGCTACTTTTCAAACTTACAGATTTTATTTAGTTTTTTTGAGTTTTTTGAACTCCCTGGGGTCCAATTAGTAGGAAAAGACCAAAACATGAGAGAAATTGGCATATTTGGCAAAGTTGGTCATTGGCCATATTTGGTCCCTATGGCCTATATGCATGAAAACTGACCAAAATTATTTCTTGATCTATGGCAGATATTTGAGTTCTGTTTTTTCCCACATGTAGAGATAGTCCATTTGGATATTCCCAGCAAGTTTCAGCCTTGTAGCTCTGTAACTTTTCAAGCAAAAAATTTATTTGTGTTTGAGCACTTTTTGACATAACTGTGCAGACCAGAAATTGCTACTTTTCAAACTTACAGATTTTATTTAGTTTTAAATAAACAAACAACCTTTATCAAAACTAACTGAAATAAACAAACAACCTTTAATAATACTAACTGAAATAAACTAACAACCTTTATCAAAACTAACTGAAATAAACAAACAACCTTTATCAAAACTAACTGAAATAAACAAACAACCTTTATCAAAACTAACTGAAATAAACAAACAACCTTTATGAAAACTAACTGAAATAAACTAACAACCTTTATTAATACTAACTGAAATAAACTAACAACCTTTATCAAAACTAACTGAAATACACAAACAACCTTTATCAAAACTAACTGAAATAAACAAACAACCTTTATTAATACTAACTGAAATAAACTAACAACCTTTATCAAAACTAACTGAAATAAACAAACAACCTTTATCAAAACTAACTGAAATAAACAAACAACCTTTAATAATACTAACTGAAATAAACTAACAACCTTTATCAAAACTAACTGAAATAAACAAACAACCTTTATCAAAACTAACTGAAATAAACAAACAACCTTTATCAAAACTAACTGAAATAAACAAACAACCTTTATGAAAACTAACTGAAATAAACAAACAACCTTTAATAATACTAACTGAAATAAACTAACAACCTTTATCAAAACTAACTGAAATAAACAAACAACTTTTATCAAAACTAACTGAAATAAACAAACAACCTTTATCAAAACTAACTGAAATAAACTAACAACCTTTATTAATACTAACGGAAATAAACTAACAACCTTTATCAAAACTAACTGAAATAAACAAACAACCTTTATCAAAACTAACTGAAATAAACCAACAACCTTTATTAATACTAACTGAAATAAACTAACAACCTTTATCAAAACTAACTGAAATAAACAAACAACCTTTATCAAAACTAACTGAAATAAACA